CAGGGCTGTCTGTAGTGCACTGACTGAGGATCATGTTTCAAATGCGTTTCCTGCCATGCACAACTGGAGGTTTTTCACCTCAGTGATAAAAAACTACAAACAGCACATGCAAAAAAAAACATGAAAAGGAATATTAGCACTTATGATAGGTGCTTCATGAACTTGCCAGACAGAGCTATATTCACTGGAAATTGGAAGTGTAGTTTTATAGTGGATTTTTTATAATGGTCTTTCTTTCTTTTGCTATTCGTTATATGCAAGCAAGGCCAGAATAATTTGACATTTAAAAAAAAAGGATCAGTTTTAAAGAAAATTAGATTAGATAATTGTAACAAAATTCTGTATGGCTCAGTCCAGTCAGCAGCTTATAAAAACAATGCAAGCGACAAAAATCAATGATTGAGTTTAAACAAAATAAAGTAAATAGATAATCCAAGTCAATAAATAAATTATGCTTTGTTGTATTTTATCAGGATGATTTTGCATATTACTTGATTCTTTAAAAATGCATTTGCATTATGCAACAAAAGAATGCATTATTCATATTAATATTAAAAGTATCCAAATACTTTTGGGGTACAATGGGTTTCATCATTGTTTACATTTTCTATTGTTTCAATGTTTGCAACTATATAAGGAAGATTTAATTTGGTCAAAATCTATAATTTGGGGTTCAATAAATGTAATTCAAAATTCAAGATTTGTATTTGTTACATACACAGTTATATACAAAATACAACTTGCAGTGAAATGTAAACCTAGTCAGTTACTCATAAGTACAGGGAAGTACAAAATGACAGATAAAAGATAAAACCGTAATAGTTAAATGTTTGGTTAAGAACTCCATTGCTCCAGATCTCACTATACTCTAGATCTAACATTTTCTCGCACTGAATGGCTCTTTAGTTAAATGAATCATGTCCTTACATGTGTGTGTCATGTGACCTGAGCCCCTGTGCTGCTGTACTGCAGGAGGTTACGGATGGGGTGAGTGGGGTTAGATGGGGTGAGTGTAACTCGACTCCGTTAGCCCTGACACGCACGGCTCGCCCCATATCACCCACCTCCCATAAACACATCTTTCTTTTATCCTTCAACTTGATTGTCTGCTCATTCTTTCCCCTCCTGCCTCCTCTTTTGCTCTTCCTCTCGGCAGGTCAGTGAGCGTACAGTACTAATATCTCTCACACATGCTCAGTAGGGCCGTGTTACACCTTTCACAGAACGCTCTCACCCACACACCCTTCAACATGCACAGACCCGCATAAAACACACACACAGATCCTTTAAACATTTTCATTGCACAGTTTCACATATGTATCTGACTTCCTTCAAAGGTTTGACTGTGCTGACAAATATTAAGTGTCAGTGACTTCATGTGTGATACTCATGTGTGTGGGAAATAAATTGTAATAATTAAATACAACATCATTAAATTATTTATTAAATAAAATAATAATAAAGCATTTTTAACTGTTGATTAGTTGATCATTGTCTAAATGTGTGAAAAACTAATTGTATTAAATAAAACCATTATTACATAAAATTATGTATAATTATAATGAATTATTATAATAAGAGTTGCTCATTAAAATGAAATATATTGCGTAAATTTTTATATTTTTTAAATATTCCACAGCATTTTAATTTGATGTTTTAGATTAAAACAAGTTGAATGCTATAATTGTAATTAAAACTTCATTGTTTACCAAATTTTTGGCTTGTCTGTAAAATGAGAATTATACATTTGAAAAAAATAAAAATAACAGCAACAGTTGCTAAGGTAGTAACATTTGAAGATTTTTAGCAAGGGCCTATTGAATTAGAAAACTATATTTTTGAGTATGTGACACTTGCATGAATCAAGTTTGCAGAAATGCAGAAGGAACTAAAGACAGAGAGTTCTGAGAGAGTCTTCATCTTCTCATAGCCCAGCTTCACTAATGTCTTAAACAGATGGTCGAAACTTCAGCTCACAGAATACCAGCCAGACACTCACAGCCAAGTATGTGTGTGTTTTATTTATTTTCTACATGCTGCATAGATAGGAGCACAAACTTACGTCACACTTCCAGAAGGTTCTGCTATCTGCTTTAGCCTCTGTCTCTGTGGTATATCACTGACCAGTTATACAAAGTGAATTCAGTTGGAATTAATTCGTGTTAGACTAAAAATAACAATCTAAATGCTCTGGCATGTTATTTTGGAATGCATATGTTACCAAACTGCTAATGTGTTGTGTAAATGTGATTGTTGGACAGGTGTTTAGTCAAATCAAGACTTGTAATAGATAAGTTCCTAGTTTGTTTGTGTTGGGGAAACTTCGTTAATAGTATTTGCAGCTGGTGGAGATCTTCAGTGACCAGGACGAACTGATGACGCCTGTCAGTGTATGATAGTGGAGGAAGACAAACCCAGAGAGTGTTTAACATTTAGGGGTGTGTTTGTGTGTGTGGTACTGCTGAGGTACATCTGACTCCCTGCTATTTTCCCCTCGAATTGACTGACCTGACCTCTCGCTCACAATGTTTGTCTAACAGGTCCCACACTTATTATGGACTTGGTCTAGCTGAACTGGGTGTAAAAGTGCTACACATTTATATTGTCTCTACAAAAACATTAACTATTTATGGGGTTGGGGTCTTTGTGTGTGTGTGTGTGTGTGTGTGTGTGTGTGTGTGTGTGTGTGTGTGTGTGTTTTGTAAGAAAGTAGGCTATGTTTATTCAGCAAGGACACACAGTTGATCAAAAGTGACAAGACATTTATAATGTTACAAAAAATGTCTATTTCAAATAAATGCTGTTCTTTTGAACTTTCTGTAATTTTTTTTTTATTGAATACAAAACACTGTATTTTACAGTCATTTTACAAGAATTAATAAAACATGCTGTATTCAGAACTTGTAATTATTATTTAAATTATTATTATATAATAGTGCTGTCAAACGATTAATCGCGATTAATCGCATCCAAAATAGAAGTTTTTGTTTACATAATATATGTATGTGTACTGTGTTTACTTATTATGTATATATAAATACACACACATTCAGTATAGATTTTGAAAATATTTACATATATATTTTATATATATATATTTATATTATTACATTTTATATTATATATATAAATATATTTAATTTATATATTAAATATATTTATATATAATTTATATGAATATAAATATGTACATGTAAATAAATGTAAATATTTTCAATATATAATGTATGTGTGTGTATTTATATATACATAATAAATATAGCCTACACAGTACGCACACATATATTATGTAAACAAAAACTTTGATTTTGGATGAGATTAATCGCGATTAATCGTTTGACAGCACTATTATATAATTAAAATTAAAACAGGCTATAGTTTTTTTTCCTGCTGTAAAAAAAATTACAGCAAAAATACCTAAACTGGATTGTGCTATATTATTGGATGCCACAAATAAAATATTATTTATTTTAATAGTTTAAAAATAATTTAATAATATCATTTAAAATTAAAATTGACAATTGTTATAAGTATATTATTGGAGTTATACAGTAAATGTTGCTTTGTTGTAAGTAGTTTTGTGTTTGTTTTTAGTTTATGCAAACCTAGTTCCAGTTAACTGCATTCTCTTCTAGCAATTGTAAATGCTTTGCATAAAAGCATTTTTTGGCATTGTGAGTTTAGGAGAGAAGTCAGTTCACTTTCCAGAAACATTTTAGCCCTGTATAGCCATCCAGATCCATCCACTGATCACAACTGCATAACACTCTCCTAAAGTGCTGGCTGCAGAGATAATTAAACATACTCACCTGAGAGTGTCCTGACATACTCACCTACGCAGCCCAGATAAAGACACTCATCATCCGAGTGCATGTGGACGGGGGGTCACACGGGTTATTGTAGATCCATAAACTCGTCAGATGGATTTCTCTCGCACTGATGTGACTCGTTAATCGATACTCAGCTAATCGATTGAGTGACAGTCTGTCAGGGCCGATTCCACGTGGGCTGAAAGCAGCTGCGGGTTGCGGTCAGATGCATTAGAGCAGAGGGCTTTCCCGTGCACTCAATACTGTCAGCTGGAATGAGAACAGGGTGTTCCCTCTATCTGCTGTTAAACAGAGAGAATGAACCAGAACTGGAGATGCCAGTTGCATGTCATTTACTATTCAGTCTTAATGCAGTTAATTATCAAATGCAAACATTGTATAATTAGTATTCACCCATACTTGGTGTTTATTTTAATCTGTGTTACTATACTTTTCTACAGTGTGTTTTGCAAATTTGTGAAAAGTGCATGTCTAAAACAGGGATAAAACTTCAATATTATACGAGTCATTTTACCATAGTTTAGTTTATTTTTTATATTTCGATTTTGTTTTTAACTTTATATTTTCTGTTTGTAATTTTATATTTGAAAGTTCATTAGTTCAAGTTTTAGTATTCTTTGTTTTGTTTATTCTTTTTTCTTAATATGTACTTTTGTTTTGTTTTTCTTAATATGTCTATATAGTTTTTTTTATTTCAGTTTTAGTTTGATTTATTTTAGTGCATCAAGTTAAACTTAAACGAAAGTGATATGATGAAATTATATAAACATATTTGAGGAATTTAGGTTAATTACAAGAGGTTAAATGGTTTGTTCACCCGCAAAATTAATATTCTTCATTTTGTCATATCATTTACTCATATATATATAATGTATATATAAAATGAACAAATTTGGAAAAACACAAGGGTGATGAAATGATGACAATATATTTATGCTTTTATTCAAAAAATGTTGTTTTAATTTAAAAAAAAATGTTATTGTGATGTTTTCTGGTAATTTTGTGTTTTAGTAAATCACAAATGATTAATTTACTTGAATTCAATTACTATAATTTTTTACATGTATGAATCTAACTTAAAACAGTAAAATCACAATAAAACATGAGGTTTAATATGTACATTTCCTCTTTCTTCTCCTCACGTTCTTCCTCTCTCTCTATTATTCTCAGGGTCGTTGTTCCAGAGAGAACTGTAAGTACCTGCACCCTCCTCCTCACCTGAAGACGCAGCTGGAGATTAATGGCCGTAACAATCTGATCCAGCAGAAGAACATGGCAATGCTCGCCCAGCAGATGCAGCTAGCCAATGCCATCATGCCAGGAAGTCAGCTTCAGCCAATGGTGAGGCTCCATTCTTATGACCTCAAGAGAGATCAGGCCATTTCTATACATAAGCATTTTCTGTAAATGTTAGTCTAATGTTTGTTAAAGTTCATTTATGCTTTGCCACTATTATTATTATTTACTAACTTATGTTTTTATTACGATATATATACAATGCCCAAAAAAGTAGTTATATTAATTTGTGTTAATGGTATAAATTATAAACTACTGTGGCCATGCACTTCTTAAAAACAATGAAAAATAATAATAATAATAATTAATAACACAAAATCATGTACTGCCATGATACCTTTTGTAAGTGTGGATAATAGTCAAATAACTATTTAGCATAAGTCACAGAAACAGAAAGTCGATTTATAGCAGTGTCACTATATCAGTTTCATTTATTATTTTCGGTCTGTTTCAGCCTATGTTTTCGGTCACGCCAAGCCTTGCAACCAACGCCAGTGCAGCTGCTGCAGCAGCCGCCGCAGCTGCGTTTAATCCATACCTGGGCCCAGTGTCTCCTGGACTGATGCCCGCAGAGATCCTGCCCAGCGCACCTGTGCTGATGGCGGGCAGCCCTGCTGTGGGATCCGTGCCGTCCGCTGCTGCTGCTTCAGCTGCGGCCGCCCAGAAACTCCTCAGAACAGACCGTCTGGAGGTATGAGGTCATCAGAGAGCCAATATCAATATCTCTTTCTTTCACACATATACACATTTAAATCTTAATCTTTGTGTGCATGCATGTAAGTTACAACTATACTTGCTAGTAAGTAAGAAATAAAGGGGCTGCTGCCCTCTGCTGACCACTGAATGAAAAAACACATCTCCCCATTTGAGAAAGTGCTGCAATACTGGCTATGTGTTGAATTAAATAATGTTACAAACTGCACAGTGTGTACTATATACTGCCTACTGTTTCGTTTTAAAAATACACTTATGTGCAACAGCATGTAGTATGCACTAATAAGTGTTTTAATCTGTAGTTTGCTACACTACCACACCTGTTGGGAATAAATATGAGTTTAATTTATGGGTTAATTTTTTTATTTTGTTATGCAATTAATCAAATAACAAGCCAAGATGGGAAATGCAGTACAAATTAAGGCTGATATTACTTAATCACTCTGGAAATGGAAGGTTCTGTCTTTTTTTTTTTAATATATATTATTATTAATATAATTTATTATATGAATATAAAACATTATACTTAATTATATTATAATGTATTCATTATTTCTATTTATAAAATAACAAGCTAAGCTGGTATTAAATATGGGTGAAATGTTTTAACAACTATTATAATCATAATTATTAACATAATTTGTTATATTAATATAATAAATGATAATTAATTATAATATTTTATTATACTGTATTATTTTTTATATATGTAAAATAACATAAATTGGGATTGTTATAAAATATGGGTACTTTTTTAGATTATAATTTTTTTTCTTTTATAAAACGACATGGTGGATTGGTTGAGTGCATTGCATTGTGGAGTACAATATTTCATGCAGTGTACTGGCTGTTCTCTGTACATTTTAGCAATATTTTAATGCACTTTTGTGGAAAGTCTCTTAACTGTTAAAATATTAAGTCAAGGAAGAGATATAAAAAAATCTTTTGCATTGCATTGTGGGCTATGGTACATACATGCACGTTGTGCTTTGGTTACACCCTTCACATTTCTGCATCCATGCATACAGAAAGTTCACATATTATGCACACTACTGCATATTACTTTGTTTCAATAGTAGCATGCCATTCTGAACATAATTAAATTAAAGATTACAGGGTCTCTTTATTAATGAAACCTTGGCTAATTAGTGCACAATTCAGTAAAATGTTGTTTTTACACAATGTAAAGCGATGCAATTACAGCTGTGTGTATTTTCAGGTGTGTCGTGAATACCAGCGTGGCAACTGCTCTCGTGGAGAGACGGACTGCAGGTTTGCCCACCCTGCCGACAGCACAATGATCGACCCCAGTGATAACACCGTGACGGTGTGTATGGATTACATAAAGGGCCGCTGCTCCAGAGACAAGTGCAAATAAAATCTGTTCTGATGAAGAAACAAGCTCATCTACATCTTGGGTGGCCTTTAAATTAGTAAATTTTAAGCAAACTTTAATTTTTGTTTGAATTCTTCCTGTAAAGAAAAACGTTTTAATTTGAAAAAAAGGAATCTTTAAATAAGGATTTATAAAAATACATTATTTTTTTTTTATTGTGTAGAAATAGTGTAAAATTAACACTTTCTTGGTATATATTTGATCTCAGGTTTCTAAAAAAAAAAAGTTTCAGGAGTTTTGAACAATAAATAAGAATTTATGAATGTTTCTTATGGATTATATTTTTAATAGAGATCTGTATAAGATATTATATACCTACAACAAGTCATTGCCATTCCCATTTAAACTGCACAAATATGTAATTTCATCATCCTGTCGAGCAGAGGGCAGTGTCCTAGTTATTTTTATGTAACATTTCTGCACATTAAATGTATGTTTGCAATCCAGCGCAATGTTATCCACTGTTGACGTTGTATTACAAGTATGTTTACTGTCAATGAAACCCTGTTAATGTTATCATAATTGATGTACTTGTTAATTGAATCTCAGTACAGAGTTTTCTAAAACAGAATGGACTGTATTTCTGCATGCCTTAGTCCTGATATCCCCCTGTATACTGCATTCCAATGATTTGTTTTTATTTGTTTTTTTTCTCACCTACCCAAAATGCACTGCTGCCCCCATGATGCACCTCTGCTTGCTGTTTATGTTAATGCGCTTGAACCCCATTGGCCCATTGCCATCATGTGCTCGCTGCCTGCTAATTAAGACTCAGTCGGCTGTCAAATCACTGAAGCGACCCCTCGAAGCCACCTTTGACCTGGTACTATGACCTTTCACCTTTTTGCTTGGCATGTTGCTTTATTGTAGTGTCTTAACAACAGAAGAAAGATAATTTGCAAGCATAGTCCTTTTGTTGTCTGTTTATTTAATGCCTCTGTTGTGTTCTGTGTTACCATGTCGTGTGATCAACTGACTGCGGCGAGCATATTGAGAAGATGTGTAACGAGAAACCAGATATGCCCGTCTGCCGCAATCAGATCATCACACGTGTGTTATTCCAGGGCGTGAGGACAGGGCCAGATGTTCTAAACTTTAGTGACATGGCTTCTATATGTTTATGTTCAGTATGCATGTTTAGTATCTCTGTGTAGTGCATGTGTCTATGGGAGGGGTAGCAGCAGAAGAATACTAAAGCTCCACCATTAAAGCAACAGAAAAGATCTAGTCTCTTTCTCACACTTATCATTGAGTTAGCAGTGCAGTTTATTTTCCTTTTTTTCTTTTTCTTTTTTTGTCACTTATGTCTGCAATACATTTGAGTAGTGCTGCGCTTGCTTCATTTGCATTGAGTTAGCAGTATGGATGTTGTAATGTTAATGAATTAATACTCTCCTGATGTAAATCACAGATGGTCAGCGCTGATTTTAGTTTTATAGCGAGAGAAACTGGCTCTTTGGCTTTTGCTTGTGCCGTAGACATGTATTAGCTGCCGCTTGCTTGCTTGTTTGTCAGAATCGAGCCCTGTGATGTTTTGCCCTCTGATGATAATTCTGTCTTTTTCTTGTTCCTTTCCTGTCTTTACTCTCTTCCACACATCCCGACCCGTTCCCCATTTCCTCCACCCCCCTCCCTGTGGTCTTATCGGAGCAGGGAATTCCTCACAGTGTCATGCCACCTTTACCAAAGCGACCTGCGCTTGAGAAAGCCAACGGTGCCACGAGCATGTTCAGTACTGGCATGCTCCAGTACCAGCAGGCTTTGGCCAACATGCAGTTTCAGCAGCAAGCTGCCTTTATTCCATCAGGTAGGGCTTCTCGTCAACCCTGACCACTCCTTGATCTCACCTTTGACCTTTCTAAACCATAAGGGATGCACAAAGACATGGGGTAACTTTTTTTTTTTAAAGAGACAGGGTTCCCCCAGCCATACCAAAAAAAATAAATAAAATAGTAACAGAGTAGTTTGTTTTTTGTTTAGTAATATACAATAGTAAAATATAATATGTATATAAGTATGTAGTATATATAATATAATTGTATTCATAACATAGTGTAGTATGGTATAATAATAGTATATTCTAATACTTTACAATTACTTTACAATTTATATATATATATATATTTATATTATGTAGTAATACTCACCCCTAATATATATCATAGTATATAATTTGTAGTAATAATGTAGTAATACTCACCCCTAATTACTAGTTTTATAAATATAGTATAACACAGTATAGTATAATATAGTTTATCATAATACAAATAATACATAAAATAAATAAAATTATATATAATTTAAATATTTTTTACATAGTATAAATGTTCTACTACTTTACAATTACTTTATACACACACACATTTATATATAGTATATACTGTATATATGTACTGTATATAATACGATAATTATATTATAATATAATATTATGCCAATGATTGTCATTATAATACTATAAATGTTATAATACAGTATTTATCATATAGAGTATAGTATTGTATAATATACTATACCATACTATACATACTATTATACCATACGATAGACAGACAGACAGACAGACAGACAGACAGATAGATAGATAGATAGATAGATAGATAGATCTTTTCATTTGTAATTTATTTATTTATTTTATTTTTTCTGGAAAAAAAAAATCTATAAAAATCTATATCCAGTGGAAAAGTCATAGAAAACTATTTGGTCAGAAGGTGTGGGAACCTTGCAATTTATGCACAGTAAAGTGAACAATAAGAAATGGGGCTGTCTGTTAGTTTCTCTCTATCACCTCATCTTTGTATCACATTTCTACTCTGGAACATAGCTGTAGTTGAGCTCATGGCTTTCACTGCGAAATACAGTTGCCAATAACCCTGGGATGCTCCTCAGTCATACTAACATCTGCTATGGTGACGGTCACACATACACAAGTTTATGTGAGCTCACAAATACATGTGCTCCCTTCCTGAGTTCACGGTTTTATTAACTAATCGGTCTCTTATGGATATCATGCTGTATCACTGTAATGATTATTGTCTTCCTTTAATTATGATTTCTTCACTCTAACCAACCTTGTGATGGGCTGTTGTGATTCTTCTCCCTTTCCAATCCACTTCCTGTTGCAATGCATGATGGGCAGGCTCAATATTGTGCATGACCCCTGCAGCGAGCGTGGGTAGGTTTCTAGACTTCCTCCTCTTAGTTGTTTTCATGTCCTCAAAATCCACATGGCCAACAAACTGGCATTGATAAGTGGGCATCTCTGTGAGCGCTTCACTTATGAAGCATCTGTGATTTGAAGTTAAAGTCAACATGAAACGGCATCTGCAATGCAGTTTACTTCAGTAATATGGCATACTTCCAAGTGAAACGTAATGTTCAAGAAGATATGTAGAGGAAGAACTTGATTTGATTCATCAGGAATTGCACTGGATTGTGAAAAGTGACTTTTAGGCACATGAAAGTTGGCAAGTTGGAGGAGGCGGCTGAAAAATAATCTTTGCAATAACATGCACCAATACATTATGCAAAATGAGATTATTGTATATTATTACATTTTGATTTCATGTTGACTTTAAATACAAACAAATATGGTTTCTTTCACTGTGAGTTGTAATTATAGCATTTTGTGTATCGTGTTGTGGGTTTTGGTGGCTTTTTAAAGAGATATTTCACCTAAAAATGAAAATTCTGTAATTTACTCACATTCATGAAAAACAAAAGGAGGAATTTTGAGTATTCTTGCTGTGCAAGTTTAAAAATGTGGAATGGAGAATGAAATTGGAGTGGTTTTTAAAGAATAACAACCTAAATATATATAATATTTGATCTTATATAATAATATAATCATTTATATAATATTAAATATTGATCCATTTTTAATAATATTTCTTATAATAATATAAATATTATATAGTATATATATATTATATATTATAGTCTAATTTTATAAATATAGTATAACAGTACAGTATGGTATAATTTATCATAATAATTATAGTATAACAATTACTGTACAATTTATAGATGTATATACATAGTATAACTTTACACATAGTATAAAATTATAATATGTAATATTTAAGTTTGTAATTCTGGAATAACCTGAAGGTGAATAATATTCAAAAATTTCCATTTTTGGGTGAACTATCCCTTTAACTCCTCACACTGAATTGAACACTTTGTAGTTGATACTGTTTTTCACTGCAGTTGTTTGTGGCTCAGATAATCAGTGTTGAGCATGATGTTCAAGTAACTGAAAATACGAGAAGGGTTCAATGTTAAAGTAGTACATGGAAGCTGAAACCTAAATGCAAAGTTTAAGAGATGCCATGCCTTTGTTTCCTTCTCCTTATAGCTCTTGATGTGTTGGCTCAAATGACACTTTACCTGCCCTTATGTCTTCTTTAGAACAATCTCTCTTGACACCACTTTTGGTTTGCCGTTTGCTGATATCACCTTCAATGCTCACTTTTCTTTCCATACCCCTCTGTGTCCACTCACTCATCATGTTTGTGCACCTGTTGGCCACACTCCCTGTATGTGTGCTTATACCATTTTCCCTCTGAAAAGTTCCCATGATGCACGGCGCTTCCCCGGCCACAGCAACCACATCTGCCACAAGTGTTCCCTTTGCATCTGCATCAGCCAATCAGGTTTGCACTTTTATGGCCTTTTCGCTCTCTATCTATCTCTCTCTCACACACACATACACACACTCTCTCTACCTTTCTCTTTCTGTCTGATGGATGTTTCTGAGTGCCGGGAGCCCTTTATTGTGATCTCTCCCCCTTGTTGGCCCACACAGGTTTTTGATAAGTCGTACACTTTTTGTGGTACTTCAAACAACAGATTCACAGTGAAAACATTTATTTGACCTGTAATTTTCTCACTGCATACATTGGCTGCGAAAAACAAAAGAATGCACTATAAAGACAGAGCTATGCATAAGTAAACGGAGTTGTTTGAATTATCTTCTGTACAGGTTTTGTGCACAAAATGCACTAGAAACTAGTCTGAAATTACCTGAGCGCTGTGAAAATGGTGTAAAAATTAAATTTCTATTAAAGCAGCGTTACAGTAGCATTTCTTGTTATATTTGATGGTTATAAATAGCATTTTAATATTGTTTTTCTTTCGTCCTTTGTTATTTTGAGGACTCTTCTCTATCAAAGCTGACTACCAACGAATACATGCAATTGGTATGTATGAGGTCGTTTTTCTTAGGCTTTTGCTTCAGGTACATCTTTGCCGGCTGTGAAGGATAAATGATTTCATTTTTTCCCCCGCTTCACTTTATTGTTTTGCTGATCAAGAAACAAAAAGAATATCAGTCAGCTTAAATACTGCTCATATGAACGCTATCACATGTCTTTGTAATCAATACAAACCAGCATTACAGGCCACAATAACAGAATAGTCTGTTCTAAATTATACAATTTTTTTTTTTTAAATGGATGAGGTTCTCCATGGTTTGAAACATTAGATGTTAGTAGAGTCTATAAAGCAGCTTTTCGAATACCTTCAGTTGTTGAAATAAAAAGTGAAGGTCAACAAGTTGGAAAAATGGAATGTTGCATGGGAATTCACTGACTTCTCCCTGCCTCACTTGAGAACGATTTATACTAATAAGCAATGGTTCATCGTTTTATTGAGTGGCATTTCTTAATTTGTGTTGTGTTTGACTCATTCTCTTCTTAACTGTCATGGGGAGGGAGTGAGGGTGAGGGAGAATATTTTAGTCTTTGAAATGATTTTTGTAAAAAATAAAGGTCATAATGGATCTTTTGTCATGCATTTTCTCTCCGTTCATCTTCAGATTCCAATAATATCTGCAGAGCATCTGACTAGTCACAAGTACTTGACGCAGATGTAGTTCCAGTCCACAACAGTAAGTGATTTTTATTTAAATTTTCCAGAAACTGCTGGATTTTTGCCCTGCCTGTCTGAGAAATTTAAATGTAATTGTTTGATTTAAAGCAAAACCTCACCCAATTTTGGCCATTATTTGCTCTCATGTCATTCCAAACCAAACCCATGTGTGGCTGTTTTTTCAAAAGAACATAAAAGGAAAATTCTGAAAAGTTATCAAAAGTTTGTCAAGCTCCAAAACAGAAACACCAAAAAAGTATGGCACCTGCGACAGCTTGATTGCAAACACTTTTTTGGAATTTTCTTTTTTTGAAGATGACATCTGTCACTGTATGGAAACGAACTTTCCAAAATTCTAACTTTCCAACAAAATTCTAAATAATTTAAATAATGACAGAAGTGTCATTGGTTAGAACACAAAAGCTCAATTCTGAAGAAGTTCTTTTCCATACAACTAGTACCAAAAAGGAAACCATGGCACCTAAAGTGCAAGTTTCAGCCTGTTCATCACACAAAACTATTATATGGCTTCAGAACACTTTGTGCATATTTACACAGCTTAGTTAAAGGAGCACCAAGCGATTTTTGCCAAACGTTGTTGATATTTGAAAGCAGCAAAACAAACACGCCCATACCCCAACAGGACCTCGCCCTTATTTTGAAATCTCCGCTCCACATGTACGTACACAACCATGGCAACGACGATCGCGGAAACAAATGAAGATGACACACAACAACACAAACAAAAGCCAACACAGATAAGTTGTGTGAAACGAAGCAAAATCAACATTACTTACCTATCAAGAAGAAACAACGCAACCTTGGCTTCCGATTCGAGCCCTTCCCGCTCCTTGAGCTCTCTCCACCGCTGGAAAGCTGCTCCGATATTTACGCAGGTCCTACCTCTTGCCTGATCGTAACCCTTCTTTTTAATGTTTTGTTCCTCTGATATTTTCCTCTTTTTTTATCTGCCATCTTTCTCTATCTATGGTCGATCTGCTAATATCCGTCCTGTGAGCTCAGATTGAGTGCTCTCTTCTCTCTATCACTACAAGACACGCCCCCTTACTGCTGATTGGCTACAAGTGTGTTTTAGGACTCGGTCCGATGCATGTGGTCAAAAGCATTTTTCAAAAATCACTTAGTGCACCTTTAAAGGGATTGTACACCTAAAAATGAACATTCTGTCATCATTTACTCACCCTCAAGTTGTTCCAAGCCTGTATGAGTTTCTTTCTTCTGTTGAACACAAAAGAAGATATTTTGGAGAATGTTGTTAATCAGACAATTGATGGTAGCCATTGACTTCCATAGTATAGAAAAAAAAACTATGGAAATCAATGGCTACCGTCAACTGTTTGGTTACCAGCATTCTCCAAATTATCTTCTTTTATTCCTGCTCTGACACACCTCAGCCCATAGTATAACAGTATGCAATTAAACATGTAAATGCATTCATGCCATCTCTGAGCAGCATTAAACTGTGTAAATTTGGCATTAGAATACAATGATTAAGTCACATTAATTACTTTTATGGCACTTTTTTTTAACTTGTCATCGTATGGAAAATAATTCTTCAACATTCTAAATAATTTAATTAATGACAGACTTATCGAATTTGGTTGAACTCTCACTTTAATACCTGTTCTCAAGTGTTCTAAATACGCACTTTTTGTACTTTCCCACAGATCAAAGGAATGTGCTGTTGCCCCGGACAAAAGGCAAACAAACTAAATTCTAAATTTTAACATCAAGATCACCGCCTGATAGAATATAATATGAAGCTTAGAATTTGGTCATATATGATGGTAGGGTTTTACTGGGGTGAAACTGAATGTCCTTCCACATAATGTGTAGAATTTGAGTGAACTACATCATTATGTCAGACAGGACCACATTTTTACTCTCAAGCCGGATTAGTAGGAAAAGTTATTTTCATGTCTGACTCAACACCGATTTGACATGTTAGTAGACCGAGAGATATTTTTTGTGATTCACACCTTGATTTTCTTTCCTCGAAATTTGTCTGAAGGTTTACAAAGTTACAAAAGGTGCACTTTGAATTGAAAAGCGAATCGAACGTCAATATATGGCACAAATAATCCAGCAAAATAATTCAATGTATGTAGTTTTCTCTATCTTTAGTTCAAACTAGATTGTAAGCGCAGAGTCGAGAATGACGTATGAATGTTTTGGGTAGAAACCGATCACCTGAGACCTTTCAGAAGCACATTCTTACAAGCTTTATGTACCATAACCACCGGCTGAATACCAGACACCGACCTAGAGTGTTATATCAACTGTTATTATGTTTACCAGAGATTAACGTTTTTTACAGCGCTTGTTTTTATACATAATTTCACAAGTGTGTGGGTTTTTTATGAAACGTGCCATTTTTATTTGTCGATCATCCATTAGGCCTTGTAGAACTATGAAGCCTTTTTGACTCCTATGAGAACAGGGTCGCCTTGTTCCTAATGCCCTGTTTCTTTGTATTGCCTTGAACGAGAGAATGTCGCGTTTGAAGGTAATCGAGAGTCACGTTAGAGAACGTCAAGGTAGCGTAGATTCGACAGTCACATGTGGAAACAGAGCGACTGCGTTCCAGTCTTTGCCGCAACGGTGTGAGGACTCTAAAATTCATGCTGGAAAAGCACTGCTTGAGTATTTCGTGACAGATTGTGAGTTCGAGACTAGGTACACGGAAAGATGAGGTTAGTGTTGGGTCAGGGTTTGTCTTCAGTTCTCATCTGTGTTGATTTTGAGTTGTTTTCGAATAGTATGCGACCGCTGGATGACGTAAAAGAGGAACGGAGAATATCATGAGATGTTTTTAACATTAAGTTGTGCCAAAGTCTTTTTTCCTCTTTTTATTTTTTATTTAAATGTGTTTTGACTGGGTATACTGATCACGGAAGGTGAATAATTTGTGTAGCTTCGTTTTACGTACAAGGCTGCTTGTAAACCAGGAAACGGATGTTCACATCAAGGTACCCAAGTTACTGGGGAGGGTTTTAGCGTCACAACCAGACTCAAGATGAAATGAATCCGAGTTCACTTGAGTCTGGATTTCAGCCTGGTTTAGGTGCACAGACTTGAAAGGATGCACGCCATTGCCATTTCCTCACTTAAAGCCTTATATTTCAGTGTTTGAACACAACATTCAAACATTCTCTCAATCACAAATGGGAAATTACAGCGGATGAGATTTTATTCTTCACACTTATTTTACGTGTATATTAATCATGTTACACTTAACTGTTTTAAAGCCTTTGTTAGAAATATATTGTGTTGTTTGCATATAAAGATTTTGTTTTTGACATAGAACTGTTTTAGAATGTAGGAAATGAAATATTGTTTATCTTACTGTCACTTTCTTTTACATCATGTTAAATTCATAATGTTTAGCTAGTAGTGTTGTATTCTTAATTCTTCATGTTAGTTTTCATGGTAGAATGTTTGAAATTTCAAGGATTTTGGTTTTGAATTTGTTGAACAAAATGTTTTATCTTGTCTTAAAAAAGAGTGAAAATGACAGAAAGAGAGTTTATTTGTTGCTATGCTAAGGTTGATATTTTAACCCTTTATTTTGTGTCGAATCAAGACCACGTCTACACTTAGCTGGTTAAAGTATCAATTGTACATGCTCGAGTAAAATAAGTTATTTTCTACTGTATGCATTTCAGAATTTAAAAAATCGTCTTGTAATATTTCAAAGAAGAAGAAAAAAACATCCCTCAATGTCAGGCCAAAATGTGCAGCAACTTGGCTTCAGAGATTTCTGAATATTTAAAGATGTAAAACAAAGGAGGGAGGTCACAGGGTCGGGCCTCGAGCTGCAAACCAGAGAGAGAGAGAGCCATAACTTAAGGGACGAAGGTTGACTTTTTGCACTTCTGTACATAGTCAATATAAAGAAAAGAAAAGGAACATGTATAATATTGAGATCTTATTTTGAATAATAAAAGATTCTATAACTATGAGAAATTTTCTTAGGATAATTTAAGAATTAGAGTAATAGTCCAGCTAACAAATGATGCTTGCAGAAATATGGCACAGTTCTTTTATCATCATTTCCGGCCATCACGTTCAGAAAAAAATAATTATAATAAAGCTCTGCGTTGCCTGCATACAGTACCAACACGTACCAAGAGTCTCAAAAATTGGCAGTACACTCTGCCCCGTCATGATTTCCACTGTGGGGAATTCGGTTTTGTTTACAAATAGATACTACACCTTCAAAAACACAGTATTTGTCATATGATGGACATAAATAACTGCATGAAGAAGAAAAAATTCTCATAATAGATAAGTACGTAGATAAGATAATTTCTCACAGTAGGCTACCGTAACTATCATTGCCACAGCATAGTGTAAATCAAGTATCTCGATCGATATCTGAGCCTCAATTGAGGCACGTTCGCCGATAATCCACCCGAGTATAACCGTAAGAACAGTACAATTATTAAAAAGGCCTTCAAACCGACTCTAGATGCTAGCAAAAGACGTCCACTTAACCTACGACAACAGAAGAGTTGCTTTGTTGCTTGGTAACGTGCCTTCAGCAGGGAAAGGACACCAACCACACACACACAAAAAAAAATAAACAAAATGAATGTAACTGTCAAATCCTCCGCTGAGGTCAGAGTTTTACTCATTTGAGGTTGCTGCACAAGAGCTATTAAACCAAAGCGTCACTTTCCTTCACTAAACACAATGCCTAAAAGCTGGTCGGCCGTTGCAGACGGCGAAACCACAGGTGGTCCTGCCTGCTGAAAGCACTTGCTTGGATGCTTAACGCCCTCCATGGAATCTTACACCTGCCCTTTGCTTATAGTTGCTGTAAGATATTGTGCTGCATTCTAAAAGACTTGTTTTATGCACATTTATTATTGTTAGAATTGACTCTTACTGTTATGAGTAAAAAAAATCTTAATAAAACTAAATGGATTTGCTCAGAAGGTGTCTGTGTGGTGTTTCACTTTCTTTTCATTCATGAATAACCGTTCTAAAGGGAGATACTATTTATGTATAATGTGGTTTGCTTAATTGATTTCTAGTCAGAAAATTTTGTAGGCTTTCTTTTCTGGATATTGAGCTCCACGTGCCTTTTTGTTGTGTTTAAAATCACATTTATCATTTTTGAAGTTCCGTTTCTTTGTTTTGTTTTAGGCGTGTCTTGATAATTGATCTTGTTAAGCCATTTGATTTGTGTGTGTGGGTGTGTATATGTAGTCTGTCATATAGTTTTCCTTGTTTTTTATATTCAATTTGTGGCCTCTTGCTTTGGATGATTGGCTTTCAAAATAAAATATAGGGTAAAAATATCGAGAAAGCATATTCATCCTTCCACTATTGTGACTCTCCAACAAAACATGCATAAAATATAGTAAAAAAAAAAAAAGACTCACTTTAATTTGTTGAATGAGAATGAAAGTAGTTATCAAATTAGTAAAACATTTCTTCAAACAATTAGTAATTAGTAAAACAATACATGTTATGTAATTTTGTCATTTTTAAAATGTATGTAATTTGAAGCTGAACTATTTTGCGATAGTAGTAAATTCTTGCATAGAATTAAAGTGTTGTTTTAACAATGTTTAAATTATCTAAACATTCCTGATGGCTCCATAGGTAGGAAGACACTCAATCAAAAGCCATTTTATACTTTTAGGAGCCCTCAAAAAAGGTCACTGGCAAAGCATCTTGTATATTAAAAGTGAAATATCCACTTTTATCTTCATGATCCATATGTTGCTTGCAAAAATACAGTCAGACTACACAGATATTTTTGAATGACTGTCATCAATGGAGAAAGACGACGTCTACCAGCAGGCGTCATGATAATATAATATGCTTTGGCTGTGACGGGTATGATGACTCCTCTGTTTTTAAGGCACATTTGCTTTTGAAATGTCCCCTTAATATCAGACTAGCGCTTATGAGCCTTAAGAAGGTACATACAATTTTCAGTTGTGTTAATTTAATTATTTTTAAATGGCATAAACACTGTTTGTTGTTAACATGGCACCATAAGCCAAAGAAATAGGACATTATTATTTATTTAGTTTAGTTTATTTCAAGTGGTTTCTCAACCATAACAGCACATTATAGCCTAAATGAAACACACCTAACCAGGAAAACACTGAATATATAAATTCAAACACTAAGATCCTTGTCGCACAGCAGGCCTCCCCATCCCTTCTCACACCTGCACTCCCAGGGATGTTTGCAGGTGCCATGTTTGCACCCTGGGTAAGGTAAGCACTCCTCACAGCGGGGGCCCTGCCATCCATACCGGCAATTGCACTGACTGGGGGCCACACAATAACCATGTTCCTCACTACATCCAGAGAAGCAGATCGCTGTTAAAAACGAGAGGGAGGAAAAACAGGAAATTAGAATAAATGTGCATTATTTTCAAAAATACAATACAAAAGATTTGATATTTGGCTACTATTCTTGCTTATTACATAATTATATTTTCTAATTGACCAAACGGAAATAACATGCCTATAAATAAATAAATATATGCAGCTTTTATAGCATATCAACGTTACCAAAAAATAAATAATTTAAAAAATCACTTACGCTCAGCGCAATATTCGCCTTTCCATCCAGGCAAGCAAATTCTGTTGCCAGCGTCGTCACAGGTAAAGTGACCGAAAGGGTCATCCCGTGAACGGCAGAAATCAGGAAAAGCGTAGCTCACTTTGATCTCCTATATGCTCTCCTAGGGACCATTTCTGACCAATAGTAAGATTTATTTTGGTGGCGAAGTGGCCAATCTTATTGTTTAGATTCTCTGAAAATAAATCATAATGTATAAATACATTTGTAAAAAATTGGTATTTAAATAAAACACAGAAAAAGGAGTTATACCTGTTGGCTGATCATTGGAAGACTCTGCATTCCATGCTTCAATTATCACCGAGACTGTTCCCTGTAATGACAGAAATTGTTCTTGAACCTCCGTTATCCATTCAATTAGACACACCCCCACTTTACAAAACCACGCCCTCCAAAAGACGCGTGCAAACGCTTGGGTGACTTTCTGAGGTGAATCACTGGATCATAAGTGTCTCATTTTAGTGTTACCGGTAAGAATAACCAACTTAACTTTAGTAGTGTTACGTATGACATCAGGGAACAGCGCAATGTTCACTAAGCTCCATATCAAGACTGTAGTCAGAGAATCACATGATCTTTCTGTCCAGTAAATCACTTGCATGCTTCGTTTGGCTTGTAGTAATATAGGTTATAAATCCAGAGATAACTTCTTCACTTTAACTCAACTTAAACATTAAACTTTAAAAAGATAACTTCTTGACTTCTTCAGTTTTGGCCTTCTTGTGGCTTGATATTCCTCTTTGGTGTGATGGAAGAAACAAAGCTTTTTGAAACGTTGAATCAGTTAAACCAACTGATTCGCAAAGTAAATCACTGTTTCAAGACGTGACGCCTTTTATGGAGGGCTTGGTTAATCAGGCCCAAGAGGCTATTAGGCTAACTCTACCCTTGTATTAAAGGGGTCATATGATGCGATTTCAAGTTTTCCTTTCTCTTTGGAGTGTTACAAGCTGATTGTGCATAGATAAGATCCCTGAAGTTGCAAAGACTAAAGTCTCAAAACCAAAGAGATATACTTTATCAAAGTTAAGTCTCTGCCACGCCCCCCTAAAACGGCTCGTTCTAACACGCCCCCACATATCTACCTCACTATGTGGAAATATTTAACGCTCAAATGTGCCCAGATGTGCACGCAAAGAAAGAAGGTTTTTTTTTTTACAGAGATCGCCTTCTATCAGTGAACCATTGACATTTCGAAATATGACATAAAGCCTTGTTTACTGAAATCACGTGACTTTGGCATTTTGATATGTGCTCTTGGTTCAAAACAAATGATTCACAAAGGTTTCAAAGCTTCACAAACGAGTGTTTTGAAAGTGCCCGTCACTAGTGAGGAGGTAATATTTGTTTTCAAAATCATATATACTAAATATATACTATATACTCAGTATGTACTAAAATGGCATCAAGAAAAAAAATAATTACACTCAAGTATTTCCTGGCTTTATGGCTGCTGTAAATGTTACGAATTAGCAGAGGACACTGTTGTCAATTCTCCAAGGCTTTATTACTGTACACTATTTTGATGTTAGTTGCCAAAAGCAGCAGTTGCAACATAATATTATCACATGACAATCTGACTCTCTGGATTCCAGCTTCTTGTATATGGGCTGCCTTAAAAACCTGCAAAATGATTTACCAGCAGAATGCAGATCAGTCTTCTGACTGGATAAACAAAAATGTCACATTAGGCGTAACTGCGAAAGATGTGATTATTTCAGGATCTATTTGAGTGATATCTGTTACTTAATGACATTTGTTGTGTTCCATATCATAAAATTGCTTATATTACCCTTAAAGTCTAACATGCTATACATATGTTATAACTGTTATATTAATCTTTAATGTTCACTCTTGAGCTACTCACTAGCCAATTTAAGTTAAAGGGCACAGTTATTGGTGCACTAGTGGAGATGGAGCTCTGGTCTGAGCTGAATGTTCCTGTCAGTCCAGTGCCATTTGAACATGCCAGTCTATATGATATGACGTCCTGCGTGTAGTTCAGGCAAACACGGAAAAAAACCTGACAGTCTCTGGACTGTTTACACACACTGCTACTGGTAGTTGTGAAAGAGTGCACTTTCAACTCAAACACAGCAGAGGATTTGACCTATAAAAATAATAAGATGTGTATCAGCATGACACATTTGGGCTAGTGGTTACATCACTTATTCAAGAAAGAGATTACATTCAAATAATTATGAAACCAAATACTCACCAGTTGCACTGATATCAAAACTAAGAAGCATGTTGATAAAAGCTGAGCCATTTCGAATCTTATTGTCTGCTGTTGATTGAAAGCAGACTGTGACAATATTCTAATATGAAACTAAAAAAAATTAAAATGTAAACTGAGTGGAATATTAAATACCTTAATATTGGCTTGGCTGGAACTCACAAAGTAAAGGCGAACCGATTTCTAGCTCCAGAATGTAGAGTGCTTGTTTAAATAGGGACCTCAGAGTGGGAGTAGTGTGCTATGCAAATTAGGTCGACTCAAACCTTCTCTGTACATTGAACATTAAACATCATCTGTGCGTATACATAGTATTAGATTTTAGAAATGTTTGATTTTTCTGCGAAGGTCTGGGAATCAATCAGTAATTTGTTTTAGCAAACTCTCCACATGAAAACTTTGGTTATGATGTGGCTTTATTTGATGAATGAAATTTGTTTTAAAAAAGCTTGAAAAGTATATATGTGCTAACCCAGAACAAGTGCTAACTATTGCTATGACAGTTCAAATGAATACAGTTCAAAGTGGAAATTTACACTTGCCATCATCTTTCAGATGAAGGGTATTTTTTCTTAAGCTGAATCATGCTGAAGTAATTTACTTTGATGAAGAAAAAAAAACAATGTTTGGATAGTCACATATATTTATATTTTACACTACAACTATAACCCAGGATAGAGTGGTTGAGTGAATGTGGTCTGGATTCTGTGGATGAGGGTCATTGTGTCAGAGACTCTGTAGAAGGACAGAATTCCTGCTCTGTGATCCACATACACTCCTACTCTACAGGAGCTGGAGACCACAGGGAGATCAGACTCTTTGTAATTGTGCTAGAATAAGCATTTGGAAGGAGAGCAGAACAATCTCCAGGATACGGCTGGACTTGTTTACTGCAAGTAGCCACTCTATTCCCCCCAGACAGTTGGACATGTTTATTCACTGTATTTACATCCATATTGAACAGACAGGAATCTCATGGAGAGAAAAATAAATACAATTTTGTACTGTTAGAAAAAATAGAATTTGTTAATAAAACATTATTGGAGAATGTTTTACAAGAAAATACGATTTCAGTCTTTGTTTAAAATATCACAATTGATTCAGTGAGTTATTTGTTGTTTCTTTGTAATTATTTGTGAAAATGTTTCACTACTAAACTCGTAAAGCTTCTAAACATCTTAAAGTCTGATAGAAGACCTAAAGATAAAGTGTCTCCTTAGCACAATGCATAGTTTGTTTTCTACATTCTAAGAATGCTCAATTTATTTTTATATACATTCATGTTATTTTTTAAAATAAGGATTTATTAAAAAATGTAAGCTGCTTATGTTTTTTAAAGTTTCAAACATAATACATGAAACTTTTTACTGAGACTTTTAAAGGCAATCTAGGAAATGGTGAGTGTTTGTAGAGCCTATAATAAGGGCTGTCCAATAATTAAGATAACAATTTAAATATAACTTGCAAGCGTTTGCGTACTTTGGAATTTATATAAGTAGTAGTCAATTAAAGAAATGTTATTATTTAGAGTGAGCATAGTTAAAATGATAATATTATCTAATACTCGCATGACTATGAGTGTGATACTGCATTTATACAACAAGTTCAATGCCAATAATGTGTAAATAAATAAGAAACAACAACTTTGGATCTAATAACGAAGGAACGCCGACGTTGCTTCACTTAAGTTAAAATCTTATTGTCACTGAGGAATGTGATGTATTTGTCATAGTGCCTAGTTACAATGGTTGAGGTTACAATGGTTAAGGTGAATTCTTTTACCGATAAAATGGAAACATTACCTTGTTATTCAAGGTTTGGCAGATTCAAGGACCAGAAGTAACTGTTGTAAATGTATAATGGTATATGTATAATGTATAATATTTTTTAAAAAAGAGTGCGCGCAACAAAACAAAAATGACATAAAAGAGATTGTAACTGTGTATGATTTGTCATGTAGCTCAAACCTTGGATCATGGACAAAAAGCATTTGTAAAATCTCAATCTACTCTCTTAGATTACACAGTTTCACTGTTGATCCATAAACTCCAAACCCAGGGTAGAGCGGTTGAGTGAATGTGGTCTGGATTCTGTGGATGAGGGTCATTGTGTCAGAGACTCTGTAGAAGGACAGAATTCCTGCTCTGTGATCCACATACACTCCTACTCTACAGGAGCTGGGGAATATAGGGAGATTAGTCTTTATGTTATTGTGCAAAAATAAGTGACTAGATTGAGAGCACTGCAATTTCCAGGACTAATTTTTATATCCAAATAAACAATCTTTAGCTTCTCCCTTCCTGCAGATGCTCTTATATGACACTGATATTCCCACACCACTTCTCCACTCCACCTCCCAGTAACAGCGTCCACACACTCTCTCTCTGCACAACATCTGAGGCCAAACATCAAATCTGTCTGGATGATCAGGATACGGCTGCTCTGTGTGAGTGTATGTAGCCACTCTTTTGTCCTCAGACAGACGAAGCTGTTTATGCAAAGAGTTTGGATCCAGAGTGAGCTGAAGGGAATCTGATGAAAATTAAAAATTAATTTTGATTTAATGTAAATCTGTATCTCAGTTTGTACAGTACATGCATGTGTGTTGATTCTCAAGGGAAGTATAGCTAAAGCACTATCATTAAACAAATACAGAATATGTACAGAATATAAAAATGAAACTATAAAATATATCTATACTCTTGCTTTCTCTTTTGTTTGCTTCATTTGTTGTTAAAATATTATTACCTTGCCATGTAACCTTTTCATAAACTATGTACTCACTCAAAAATATGTGGTCTACTCAAGTGAATATTATGCATTTTCAGTATTTGAAATATTATGAATTCTGTGTGACACCATATATGTAAGATAGAACTGAATGTCACTTTTGTTACAACTTTTTAATAGACAAAAAAAAGCTCTAGCATCTAGAGCTACAGAAAAGGAGAAAGGATATTTAACACTAACCCTTCTGAAACCCATATTCATGATATTTTTTACGTTTAAACATTTTTCTGAAACAATATATATATAATATGAGTATATATAACATCTGATTCTGGTGTAATGAATTGTCTAATAATTTTACTGCACATACAATCACAAGGATAGTAATATCAGTCAGTTTTGACCTTGTGGGGACATTTTTTGGTCCCCATTAGGAAACAAGCTTATAAATCATACAGAATGAAGTTTTTTGAAAATGTTAAAATACATAAAGTTTTGTGTGATGGGTAGGTTTAGGGATAGGGTAAGGGTAAGGGGATAGAAAATACAGTTTGTACAGTATAAAATCCATTGCGCCTATGGAATGTTCCCATAAAACATGGAAACCAGTCTGTGTGTGTGTGTGTGTGTGTGTGTGTGTGTGTGTGTTTTCTGTGTGTGTGTGTGTGTGTGTGTTTTCAATGTGACTTACACTGTAGGAATTCCTCCCTAGTCCTGGGTTCATTATTGGAAATAATGTCGATGTATGTTACTAAGAAAATAAACACATGTAATTAGTTATTAGTGTTATTTTCCATCTTTACTGTGTTATTCCTATGTATGTCTGCACTATCATGTATGTTGCACTATGTCCGTAATTTCTTCTGCACTGGAAGCTCCTGTGATCAAGTCAAATTCTCTGTGTGTGTAAACATACTTGTTAATAAAGGCTAAAGCTCTTTCTGACTTCTAATTAGAATAGTTCTAATTAATAATTTTAATAATTATATGAAACACGTATTACTTTCATATTGTATTTTACTATACACCAGTTTCTTCAACATTGTTGCAAAATATATCATTTTTCTGAAAGCAACTGTTTCTGTCACTGTACCTTGACCAGATAACCGTTCTATTTTCTCTTTACTGAACTCCTCCAGTATTTCTTTCAAGTGAGACACAGATTTTCTCACATCATCCTAAGGGAGGACAGAACTGACAGCAACTCTGGGAACACCTGTAGATTCCATAGGTTCAGCGAGAGACTGGAAACTCTAGAAAGAATAAATACACAGAAACATCAAAGATAAGAAGAAACAAAAATCATATTTTATCCATTAAGGGTAAGCATATTAGAATCCCACACAAATATTTTGTGAACCCTTTGTTTCAGTTTTATTACTGTTACAGTTTTGCAGTGTCCATTTTTGAATCAAGTTTGTATCAAGTTAAAAATAAAGAATTAAAAAAAAATTACAGTTAACATTACCTATATTTAGTTTATTTCTAAGATCTGAATATTGAGTGTGTGTGCATGGGCTAACAATGTGTTCACAGCCTCAACTCTAGCAGTATCTGTACTGTATTAATTTTGTAATTTTAATGTTCTCATGGGCTCTTCAGGCCAATACTATTTTAAGTAATTGTCATTGATCGATACATTTTTTCAGTCAGTAAGAAAGAATCTGCTTTAAATCTACATTGGGAAAAGTATGTGAAAATAAAAGACAAATGTTAAAGTCACTACGACGTCAGAAATGAAAATGACAAAAATTACATTGATCCAAAGCCAAACAATTTGTTTTGGTGTATACCATATAATTGGTATCATCAGACAAAACTTGAACTGTTGTTTTTATATATACAAAACAAAACTGGTATGTTTTGAGGGATCTGGTCAAATTTATCTAATATATTAATTATTATTTTAGTGTCTCAGATAATGGTTTTATTATATTGCACACCGTAAAATTAGGAAATAATTCTCTAGTCAAAAGACCATGCTTAGGACAACAGTCCTGCTACCTGTAGGAAATGGATGTAATCATCTGTGTGTAAAAACTGCTTCAGCTCAGCGTCTCTCCTCCTCAGATCATCAATCTCCTGCTCCAGTTGCTTCAAGAGTCCTTCAGCTTGACTCACTTCAGCTTTTTCCTGATTTCTGATCATCTGTATCACCTCGGAGCGGCTTCTCCTAATTGAACAGATCAGTTCAGTAAAGATCCTCTCACAGTCCTTCACTGCTGCCTGTGCAGAGCGCTGTTAGAACACACAGATAATCAGATCATCAGTCTGTTAGCCAAAGTGGGCAGTGGAACTGGAAAATGTGGTCCAACACTTACTAGGTTAGTCTGAGTCTCACCTTGTGAGTCTTAATAGCCTCTCTGAGCTCTTGAAGCTTCTTCTGTCTCTCTTGGATTCTCTGCTGACATTTTTCTTGCATCTCTCCAACCTGATTCTGAGGCATAGAAAAAAATGTAAACATTAGAAATCTTCAGTAATCTTCGATGGACGCGAAATGTTTTAGTGATGAAAGATTATCAGTTATCATCAGTTTGATTGAATGGTTTCCAGATATTTTCAAATATGTGATAATCTCATCATAGACTGCCTAATTTGCTTAATAACTGCAATTGCAATCAACACAGTTTAGGCTACTTATATGTGCATACCTGTTTCTCAGTCCTCTCTGCTTCAGCTGAAACAGTATCGTGAGTTTTGTGTTCATCCATCACACAAATCAAACAAATACATTTCTGGTCAGTTCGACAAAAAACCTCCAGCAGTCTGTCATGTTTAGAGCAGATCATCTCCTGGATTCGTCCAGCATCAGTCAGTTTATGCCGCTTACTTGAACGAGATTCCTCATGACGCTCAAAGTGAGTTTGACAGTAAGATTCCAAACACAAAAAACAGGACTTAATAGCTTTACGTTTCCTTCCAGTACAAACATCACACTCCACATCTCCAGGTTCAGCGTAACTGAGAGACTGATCCATCTGGTCTGTTTTCTTCTTCAGTTCCTCCACCATTTCAGTAAACATCACATTTATATTTAAAGCAGGTCTTGGACAGAAGGTCTGTCTGCATTCAGTGCAGCTGTAAACTCTCCACTGATCTTCTTTATTCCAGTTATCTGTAATGCAGTTCATACAGTACCTGTGTCCACAGGGGATGGTCACTGGATCCTTCAGTAGATCCAGACAGATCGGACAGCTGAACTGATCCTCAGCCACTGAAATTTTAGCTTCTGCCATTTTACTGCAATCAGAAAGAGAGATAAATACAGCGACTTATCTATAAATAGGTTTCGTTTTCCCTGAAATTAAGAGAGAATTTCCTGGTGTTTAAGGGACGTGTGCAAAAACAGGTAGTAGGTTATCTCCGGTGTGACTCGCCTGTATTTTACTGTCGATAATAAAGAACATCCACTCGGTGTCAGTCTCACGCTGAAGCCAAAGCAGGATGATGAACTGGTAAGAGACTCGACATTCATCAGTCACACATATTAACCCAAAGCAATTGTATAATTAGCTTCTTCTGTCTCTCTTGGATTCTCTGCTGACATTTTTCTTGCATCTCTTCAACCTGATTCTGAGGCATGGAAAAAATTGAAACATTAAAAATCTTTAGTAGCCTAATCCTCAATGGACTTGAAATGTTTTAGTGAGGAAAGATTATCAGTTATCTACAGTTGAACTGATCCTGAACCACTAAAATATTGGCTTCTGCCATTTCACTGCACATACAGATAGAGAGACATGTACATCAGCATATTGACATTTGAAAACATGTTAAGAGACATGTGCAAAACAAGTATGCCTGGTGTGTCTGGTGTGACTCACATCCAAGTCTAAAGCTAAAGCCAGTGCAATGTGTGTCAGGGGCCTGCCCTGACAGTCTTGTCTGTCATGTCTCTGTTCAATGTTTCTTTGTTTGTTTTGTGCTTGAGCACATGGCTTTGTTTGTGTTGGCCATGTGCTCCTCTTGTCCCGCCTCCTTGTTTCCAGTTACCACTCCCCTTGTTTAGTCATCATCCAGGGGTGCCCAAACTCGGTCCTGGAGGGCCGGTGTCCTGCAGAGTTTAGCTCCAGCTTGCCTCAACACACCTGCCTGGAAGTTTCTAGTATGCCTAGTAAGACCTTGATTGGCTGCTTCAGGTGAGTTTGATTAGGGTTGGAGCTAAACTCTGCAGGACACCGGCCCTCCAGGACCGAGTTTGGGCACCCCTGCATGTTTTCTTGAGTGTTCATCTGATCCTCGTGTTATATTTTGCTCCTTTCCCTCATGTCTCTGCTGGTTTGTTGCATGCATTCTTTGTGTGTGAGAATTTCTTGCTAGTCATCAGGTCTTATTGGCATTGTTATATTTAACGTTCCCCATCAGTAGCATTGTATTTAATTCGTTTTGAGTTTACTAGGTTGTCTTTGTTCCTGTAATTTTGCTCTAATCTAGTTCCCCTCTTTATTTTTGCTAGTTTTCTCAAGCCTTATTTTTTGTATAATTTTTTTGTATTTTCTGTAGTCATAGTCCTCAGTCAGTATTATGTATTTATTTATTTATTTTGATTTTTTGCTCTCTCTTGTGGCCATTCTGTGTCTGGGTTTCCATTCTCTGGTAGACTGCTGTGACAAAGCCTTGACAATGTAAGTGTTATTACAAAAAGCAAACACATATTTAAATAATAGGCACAACTCTGTTACTGGGGTAATAACAGAGTGGTTACTTTTATTGGGGCTGACCGGTACGCTTTTCATGTTTTTTTGTTTTGTTTTGTTTCATTTAAATGTTGGCCTGACGTGCATAATATAAAAAAGAAGAATAAACTGTTATCTAATAAAATATCAATGCATTGATAATGATATTGTTTTTGTAGCTAGTTAAAATAATAGCCTAAATGAGATTTACCACAAAATAACGTTTAGTCTTGCATTCCATTTAAATAGAATGTTTAAAATTAAATGTTAAAAGTTCAAATTAAATGGATCAAAGTTAAACAGTTTAGTGGTTTTAATGTATGATTTTACATTCTTTTTCTAATGTAAAAGCTGGCACCGCCAGTACGGGCATTGAAACGCGTCTCGCATTCGTGAGCGCCATCTACTGGCCCAACGGTGCCAGATAAAATAAACTTGACGACTTGTTAATAATTGGTATATTAGTATCGTTAGTATGTATGTATTCAGATAATTTTGTGTGCAGGCAGTGAAAATATGGAAGTTAATAATTTTAGTCGGGTTTGTGTCGTTCCGTTGAATCTAGTATTCAGTACTATGCCAGTTGCAACTAATGTACGTTTTGAGTTCTTATTAACGTAAAATGAAAAAAAAAATCAGTTAAAAAACGTTATTAGAAGCAGTCATACTCCCATCTATGTTCTTTGTGGTCACACCGTTTGACAAACACAATCACCTTTTTTTGCACACGTCTCGAAACAGGAAACGCTGTTGAGAGAAACCGCAAGGCTATGTGTTGTCAAGTTGTTATGTATGTGGAGGAACATGACAGAAGCCAGTATTTCATTGGGCGAGGATCAGTTCAGCTGTCCGATCTGTCAGGATCTACTGAAGGATCCAGTGACCATCCCCTGTGGACACAGCTACTGTATGAACTGCATCACAGACTGCTGGAATAAAGATGATCAGAAGGGAGTTTACAGCTGCCCTCAGTGCAGACAGACCTTCACTCCAAGACCTGCTTTAAATAAGAATGTGATGTTGGATGAAATGGTGGAGAAACTGAAGAAGACAAGATCTGCTCTCAGTTACGCTGGACCTGGGGATGAGGAGTGTGATGTCTGTACTGGAAGGAAACGCAAAGCTGTAAAGTCTTGTCTGATGTGTCTTGAATCATACTGTCAGACTCACTTTGAGTGTCATGAGGAATCTCATACGAGGAAACGACACAAAGTGACCGATGCCACTGGACGAATCCAGGAGATGATCTGCTCTAAACATGACAGACTGCTGGAGGTTTTTTGTCGTTCTGACCAGAAATGTATTTGTTTGATTTGTGTGATGGATGAACACAAAACTCACGATACTGTTTCAGCTGAAGCAGAGAGGACTGAGAAACAGGTATGAACTGAAAACACATATTAATAGACTTAGTTTTTGCAGTTATTGTATCAAGTTGCTGGGTAGGCTAGTTCACAATGATATATCACACAAAAATATAGAGAGATTTTGAGCTCCTTGTAGAAAACCAAAGTCTTCTAATGTTTACAATTATTTGTTCATCAGAAACAGGTTGGAGAGACAGTAATAATTATACAGAAGAAAATTCAAGAGAGGCAAACAGAGCTTCAGAAGCTGAGCGAGTTTGTGCAGACTCACAAGGTGAGAATAAGAGAAAAATAACTGTCCGATTGAATGGACTGATTCTAATGGTTCTCTCTTTATGTCATAACAGAGCTCCGCACAGGCGGCAGTGGAGGACAGTGAGAGGATCTTTACTGAACTGATCCACTGCATTGAGAAAAGCCAATCTGAGGTGATACAGATGATCAGAGATCGAGAAAAGGCTGAAGTGAGTCAAGCTGAAGGACTCTTGAAGCAACTGGAGCAGGAGATTGATGATCTGAGGAGGAGAGACGCTGAGCTGAAGCAGCTTTTACACACAGAAAACCACATCCATTTCCTACGGGTTTGTAAAGATTTACAGGTTTATAAAGCTTGTACTGCAGACTCACTAATGGACATTTGATTAAAGCTTATTGTATAATTGCCAGTTGTTCTGATCAGTGCAAATGCTGTCAAGATTGTATTGTATAATGATGAATATGCCTAGCACTTGTACTTTCATCTATGTGATCCTTTAACTTTCTTGGACGGTATTAATTCATATTTACATGATCATTTACATTTTCGCTTGTTGTCTTTTTAGAATTTTCAGCTTCCCTCTGCACCTCCTGCATCTTCAGACAGCACCACTGTCGGTTCTCTGCTCCCTAATGATGATGTGAGAAGCTCCGTCACTAATATAAAAACAAAATTTGAGCATTTCTGCAGTGAGGAGATAGAAAAGATATCTGGTGGAGGTAAAGTACAGACTCATCTTGTAAAATAGAGTTAATAAATGAATAAATAAATATTGTGTGGATGTGAATAATGAATAATTATTATTAATAGCATTTAATAAATTGTTAATAATATTACTACATTATTGTTGTTATTAGTACATTATTAGTCTTGATCAATAGTAATTAATAGTTTAATATTATTGATATCTTTATTAAATATCTGTTTGTTTCTGTATAGTGAATATCAAAATCCTCACACCCATCACTGAACCCAAAACAAGAGAGCACTTCTTGCACTGTAAGTGGTATAAATAATCATTCAAATAAAGCGAACACTAGACAAATTTATACACATTTAAAGGGGAAGTTTTTCATTTCTGTACTAACTGTACTAACAGTATTGCATTAGGATTGTTTGAGTTGTCTGACAGACAGCAAAATCCAAACAATGGCAGACAATGGGAATGTTTGATATTTTTTAATGATTTAGCAATTCTGTCCCACTAGTGGTAAAAAAATTAGCAATTTTACTTACAATTTTTAATAGGCTTTAAATACATTTTGATAAAACTTGTGTAATAGATCAGTGATCTGTTGTTGCTACTTTTATATCTTTGTTGCATCACTTAATGTTCTGACAGTTAAGATTTATTTATTAAAATGTAGATTGTCTGTTTTTTTTCTCCATCAGATTACCATCAGTTTACTCTGGATTCAGAGTCGGTGCATAAACACCTCTGTCTTTCTGAGGAGCACACAGTGGCTGCTTGCACTGCTACACTGCAGCCGTATCCTGATCATCCAGACAGATTTGATGTTTGGCCTCAGGTGTTGTGTAAAGAAAGCTTGTGTGGACGCTGTTACTGGGAGGTGGAGTGGAGCGGGACTCGTGGTGTGGGAATATCAGTGTCATATAAGAGCATCAGCAGGAAGGGACGGGGTAATGAGTGTAAATTTGGATGTAATGATCAGTCCTGGAGATTGTTCTGCTCTCCCTCTGGATTTTTATTTAGTCACAATAACAAAAAATCTGAACTCCCTGTATTCTCCAGCTCCTGTAGAATAGGAGTGTATGTGGATCACAGAGCAGGAATTCTGTCCTTCTACAGTGTCTCTGACACAATGACCCTCATCCACAGAATCCAGACCACATTCACTCGACCGCTTCATCCGGGGTTTGGCATAACCCAGGACTCATCAGTGAAACTGTGTCCTTCAGCAGTATAGATGAAGTAGAGCTTCTACAAACAGGGCCGGATTTACGCATAGGCATTCTAGGCACGTGCCTATGCTTGCTCGTCCAGGGGGGCCCCAAACACAATAAAGAGATATATAGCCTAATATTTTTGTTATACTATGGGATATACACAACAGTAAAAGAACCAAAACCCCAGAAGACATTGAGCAAATAAATATAACAAATAGGGTAAAAATTACAAACTATTTCCATGTCTTCAACTTTTTTTATGTACGGAAATCATGCTTTCTTTCTCCCATTCTCTCACAGATACACACACAGTACAGACATGCACTCGCGGTCTTGTGAACACACGCGGAGACATGGACAGAAACTTGTTGTCAGAGCTGCGCGGCTGCCCCGCGAATTTATGAATAAAATAGTTTTGCAGCTGAAAAGCTACATGACATTTCTCAGTAGAGAGGTTCTTGAAGCAGTTTAACTTAAAGATTGGCTATTAGTAGACGCTGCTGCTGAATACTGCTGAGAGACGCAAGTATTCACATGCACTTAATCTCTCTCTCTCTCTTTTGCTCTCTCTCTCTAATAACTGCGTTAGACTGCATTAATAACTGCGTTAGCCTGCATATCAATGGCTCAAGCCTCTGTTATTAGCTCTAAAATGACGTTTTGGAATTTGCACAAAATCGGATTTGGGCTGACAGTCTGAACGAGGCTTAAGTTCTCAAATTAAGAACTAGCCTACATTCGATTTGTATTTATTGAACGCACGCGCTTATTGCGATAGAAAACACTGTAACTGTTTCCACTGATAAAGAAATATTTTTGTTTGCTTGGGTGGTAATATTAGGCCTGTTATATTAGGGAAGGGGGGCCCAAAAATTGGTTTTGCCTATGTCACGAAAAGAGGTAAATCCGGCCCTGTCTACAAATATATTAAATGCAGTGTACATCTAATGTAACATTATATCAGTACATGGTTGACTGTATATAATTTTGCATTTTTATGTAGACTAAGTTATTTAACATTAAATATCACGGGTAACTTGAATTTGCTTTGAGCCTTTTGCAACATTTCTTTCAAGACAAGACATCCTCCAAATGGAGCCTAAAGTAACAATTGGAATCTACATTAATGATGATACCACACCTCGAGAGAAAAGACCCTGGGAGCAGGCACACCCTCTTCAGTAAATACCCATAAAAATATCCATAAACTCTTAAACTACATTTGAGTTTACTTCTTTGGGGATGAGACCATTGTTTCAGTTGCACTGAGACATTTCAAACAATGTCAAACATGTATAGTAGGCTACTGTATAGTAATTGTTCACAAAAAGCATAGATTTAGGATGATCTCAGCATGTAGAGAGGGGAAGAACAGGGACAAGAGAGTGAAGGGAAAGAAATGCAGATGAGACAATACTGAGATGTGATCTACTCAGTGTGATTGTATCTCGGATTTTGCAAGAGAGCATTCAAATGTTAATTTCCAGAAAAGTCCACTGTTTTCTTGAAGAGCATGCCTCTTGGGGTCCAGACAGCTTGGCACAGTAGTTCAGAAACCTACAGGCTATTAAAAGGGGGAGTATGTTAGGAATGTGTGTATTTGATTGGGTTTTTTTTTTCAGAATGACTTGTGGAATGTAGAAAACAATACAATAAATAGCCTACCATGTTCAAAAGAAGTACGTGGTCTCTTTGCAAAACAAATTTCTTACAAATGGTTACAAATTATTTCTTATAAATGCAAAAAAACCCCGAAAAATTTCTTTCCTTTTTCTGAAAGGTTGTATTTTATTTATTTGTTTAATAATGTGTCTCCACCAGTAGTATGCGTTCGTATTACACGTAATGACGTACAGGGAGGTCAAAAAGGCAAGAGGTCCATTTTGACGCGGAATGAGAGATTTCAATTAATTCAGGAATTAGGATGGCTGGGAGCTGATAATATTTCTTTAAAATGATTGTTAGGAAATGGGTCGAGGCAATCAAGAGTGCAAGAAAAATTGTTTAAATACCTGAAAAACACAGGAACAATAGATAGAATTTATTATTTTTTTCCCTGTATTTCTGTATTTCCAGATCAGTAGGTGGCGGTAATGCACCCTTTTTCGCTGGTTTGCCAAACCGCCATAAAACACCAGAAGAAGACGACGAAGAAGACGCAGAATGCAGCGCTGGTAAAATCTACTAAGTATACTTTTTTATTGCTCTGCATCATCACATTACGCGAGCACTGTAAGTTACTCACGCAGTCTGTTTTTTCCTAATTGCGCTTGCTGCGTATGCTCAGGTAGGCTAGTGTTTTTATCAGCCCGTCTGCAAACAAATTCGTATAAACATTACTGGGTTGATAGATAAAGCGCTTTTGAGGATTAACAAATGCTTTTACAAACGCTTTTAAACGCCTGCTCCGCTCTCTGGAACACATAACCAGAAAGTTAAAGTGAACTGCTGTTCCATGCGGCTCTGTTTTTGTGTTCAAGCAGTGAAATGGCAGAAGCCATTATTTCATTGGGCGAGGATCAGTTCAGCTGTCCGATCTGTCTGGATCTACTGAAGGATCCAGTGACCATCCCCTGTGGACACAGCTACTGTATGAACTGCATCACCGACTGCTGGAATCGAGATGATCAGACGAGAGTTTACAGCTGCCCTCAGTGCAGACAGACCTTCACTCCAAGACCTGCTTTAAATAAGAATGTGATGCTGGCTGAAATGGTGGAGAAATTGAAGAAGACAAAAGCCCAAACAGCTCGTCCTGCTCTGAGTTACTCTGGACCTGGAGATGTGGAGTGTGACGTCTGCACAGGGAGAAAGTATAAAGCTGTCAGGTCTTGTCTGATGTGTCTAAACTCTTACTGTCAGTCTCATCTAGAACAACATGACAGTTTCTTTAAAGATAAGAAACACAGTTTGATTAATGCCACTGGACGACTCAAGGAGATGATCTGCTCTCAACATGACCGACTGCTGGAGGTTTACTGTCGCACAGACCAACTATGTATTTGTTTGTTGTGTACAATGGATGAACACAAAAATCATCACACTATTTCAACTAAAGCAGAGAGGACTGAGAAACAGGTAGGAAATGTACATATTGCTATTGCAAATGCTAGTTGCACATACATTTATGATGCAGTACACTAAGCTGCATTTTATTGTTTCTGTTACAGAAACAGCTTTGGGACATAGAAAGAAAGTTCCAGAAGAGAATCCAGGAAAGAGAGAAGGCGATTCAGGAGCTGAAAGAGGCTGTGAAGACTCATAAAGTGAGTTTCAAGGGGATTAAGAATTTTTTAGGCTTTCTCAGGACTCTTTTCAGACTTGTCTTTGTGTCATAACAGAAGTACGTGGTCTCTGCAAAACAAATTTCTTACAAATGGTTACAAATTATTTCTTATAAATGCAAAAAAAACCCGAAAAATTTCTTTCCTTTTTCTGAAAGGTTGTATTTTATTTATTTGTTTAATAATGTGTCTCCACCAGTAGTATGCGTTCGTATTACACGTAATGACGTACAGGGAGGTCAAAAAGGCAAGAGGTCCATTTTGACGCGGAATGAGAGATTTCAATTAATTCAGGAATTAGGATGGCTGGGAGCTGATAATATTTCTTTAAAATGATTGTTAGGAAATGGGTCGAGGCAATCAAGAGTGCAAGAAAAATTGTTTAAATACCTGAAAAACACAGGAACAATAGATAGAATTTATTATTTTTTTCCCTGTATTTCTGTATTTCCAGATCAGTAGGTGGCGGTAATGCACCCTTTTTCGCTGGTTTGCCAAACCGCCATAAAACACCAGAAGAAGACGACGAAGAAGACGCAGAATGCAGCGCTGGTAAAATCTACTAAGTATACTTTTTTATTGCTCTGCATCATCACATTACGCGAGCACTGTAAGTTACTCACGCAGTCTGTTTTTTCCTAATTGCGCTTGCTGCGTATGCTCAGGTAGGCTAGTGTTTTTATCAGCCCGTCTGCAAACAAATTCGTATAAACATTACTGGGTTGATAGATAAAGCGCTTTTGAGGATTAACAAATGCTTTTACAAACGCTTTTAAACGCCTGCTCCGCTCTCTGGAACACATAACCAGAAAGTTAAAGTGAACTGCTGTTCCATGCGGCTCTGTTTTTGTGTTCAAGCAGTGAAATGGCAGAAGCCATTATTTCATTGGGCGAGGATCAGTTCAGCTGTCCGATCTGTCTGGATCTACTGAAGGATCCAGTGACCATCCCCTGTGGACACAGCTACTGTATGAACTGCATCACCGACTGCTGGAATCGAGATGATCAGACGAGAGTTTACAGCTGCCCTCAGTGCAGACAGACCTTCACTCCAAGACCTGCTTTAAATAAGAATGTGATGCTGGCTGAAATGGTGGAGAAATTGAAGAAGACAAAAGCCCAAACAGCTCGTCCTGCTCTGAGTTACTCTGGACCTGGAGATGTGGAGTGTGACGTCTGCACAGGGAGAAAGTATAAAGCTGTCAGGTCTTGTCTGATGTGTCTAAACTCTTACTGTCAGTCTCATCTAGAACAACATGACAGTTTCTTTAAAGATAAGAAACACAGTTTGATTAATGCCACTGGACGACTCAAGGAGATGATCTGCTCTCAACATGACCGACTGCTGGAGGTTTACTGTCGCACAGACCAACTATGTATTTGTTTGTTGTGTACAATGGATGAACACAAAAATCATCACACTATTTCAACTAAAGCAGAGAGGACTGAGAAACAGGTAGGAAATGTACATATTGCTATTGCAAATGCTAGTTGCACATACATTTATGATGCAGTACACTAAGCTGCATTTTATTGTTTCTGTTACAGAAACAGCTTTGGGACATAGAAAGAAAGTTCCAGAAGAGAATCCAGGAAAGAGAGAAGGCGATTCAGGAGCTGAAAGAGGCTGTGAAGACTCATAAAGTGAGTTTCAAGGGGATTAAGAATTTTTTAGGCTTTCTCAGGACTCTTTTCAGACTTGTCTTTGTGTCATAACAGCACTCCGCACAGGCAGCAGTAAAGGACAGTGAGAGGATCTTTAATGAACTGATCCGCTCCATTGAGAGAAGCTGCTCTGAGGTGATACAGATGATCAGAGATCGAGAGAAGGCTGAAGTGAGGCGAGCTGAGGGACTCTTAGAGCAACTGCAGCAGGAGATTGATGATCTGAGGAGGAGAGACGCTGAGCTGAAGCAGCTTTTACACACAGAAAACCACATCCATTTCCTGGAGGTAACAGATTTTGTTATTTATTAGCAATTTATTTATTTTGTAATGGATTATCTTGTTATTGTGAATCAAATCTGTTCTGATTTTGTCCCTTTGTAGCGTTTCCAGTCTCTCTCTGTTCCTCCTGCGGCTAGAGACAACATAAATGTTACTTCACTTCTCTCTTATGATGATGTGGATGAATCTGTCTCTATGCTAAGAGAGAAACTTGAGGACCTCTGCAAGGAAGCAACAGAGAATATATATGGTAATGTTAAAGTTTGTAATTCAGTAATTTGTTTGAAATAATGTATCATATCATAAGCACTAGAAGAAATTGATCAAATTCTCTATCTATCAATGTGAATAACATTGTATATGTCTCTTGGTTTTAGTAATACCACACATGGAGATTGTTACCACCTCTGAACTCAGGACCAGAGATGAGTTTTTGCAATGTAAGTGTTGATTCAGTCCTCAAGAGAAATAAATGAGTGATTACCATGTCAGTATTTACATTTAGTCATTTAGCAGACGCTTTTATCCAAAGCGACTTACAAATGAGGACAATGGAAGCAATCAAAATCAACAAAAGAGCAATGATATGCAAGAGCTATAACAAGTCTCAGTTAGCTTAACACAGTACACGTAGTTTTTTATCATTTTTATTTTATTATATA